TTTTTTTACTCATTATCTCTAAATGATTGAACATTGAATCAATATATTGTACAAGAAAAAAAAAAGATTTTCTCTTTTTTTTCTAAATAAATTATTATCTCTATTTAATCATATAATGATATTATTCAGGTATATTATTATTTGTCATCATTTATCTAGTTTGGAAAGTTCGTGCACGTTTATGTCGTTCTTCATCATTGTCAAAATCAGATATAAGTAATTTATGTTTATCAACAAATAAATTTGATTTAGATTATTGATTAAAACAAGTTGATACATGTCATCAATGGCGTCTTATAGAATATCGACAACAACAGCAACTTCTTCAACAAACTGAAATAAATCTAATACCATTATAGAGGACGTCGACATATTTTTCGTCGTTTTTTATTCGACGTCTTCTTATTCTTCCACATCAACATCCATAATTTTTAGATCAATATTTATCATCATTAAGTGTTGATTGAAGACCAAGTATAGTAAATAATAATTTGATTCCACCATTAGACCTCGACGAGTCGTATCATGGCCTCGTTCTTAAATCAACTCATCATCAAAATAATGCAATGATGAGCGCATTAGAAGTATGAAATGGTAGAAAAACGTCTTCTTAAACAAATAGCACGAACTAGTATATTGGATAAATACGAAAAATTTATTGTTATATATGAAATAAAGATAGATTTTAATTAGTATTTATTGTCGAAAAATATAATTTTCATAATCAAAATTTTTCAATAATAATATATAAACCCATGTAAAATCAGGCCATAAAGAAGTATTATTACCTTTGGCATCTTGATACCATGAATGACAACCACCCTTTTGCCATACTGTTCTCTTTAGTCTTAATTGTAAATTTTCATTAAATTTCTCATGTATATCTTGTTTTATTTCAATAGATCGTATATTATTTTGATTCATATAAAGAAATGCTTCAGCTATATAATTTATTTGTGCTTCAATCATAATTACAACTGAATTATGACCCAGAGCTGTATTTGGACCAAGAAGAATAAAGAAATTTGGAAAACTAGGTACAGTTATACCACGATATGCCTATTTAACATAAATTTAAATAAATAAATATTTATATCATAGTCTTATTAAATTAACTCACTTGTATTGTTTCAGACCATTTTTTAGTTAATAAACAACCATTAATTCCATAAACAGATAATGGAAATTCTTGTGTTAGAAATCCTGTTGACCAAATAATAATATCAACTGGATATTCATCTCCATCATAAGTAATAATTGAATGTGATGTAATTTCTCGTATACGATTTGTTATAAGTTTTACATTCGATTTTTGTAATGTTGAAAACCAATCATTAGTTATTAACATACGTTTACATCCAAATTCCCATGTTGGTGTTAATTTTTTTTGTAATTCTATATCTTTAACTTGTCTTTCAAGATTATATTTAACTAATTTATTAATTAGAAATTTCAATGGCCAACGATAAGCAAATGAAAGTGCAAGAGATTCCATTATCCAATACATAATAACACGCATAAATTTTTGAATAATTGGATAACGTTTAAATAAATTTTTTTCCCAATCCGTTACTAATCGATCAAATCGAGGTATAACCCATGCTGGTGTTCGTTGAAAAACAAATAATTGTGAGACATTCATCTGTTGAACTTCCGGTATTGTTTGAATAGCACTTGGTCCTGTACCAACAACAGCTACACGTTTATTATTAAAATCTATTGTTTTATCCCATTTAGCTGTATGACACATTTGACCTTGAAATTTATCAATACCATGAATATCAGTTGGATAAGAAGCATTTGATAATGGTCCACAACCAAGAACAATCGATTGAGCATAGAAAATTTTTTCTTGATTATTTGATTGAGTTGTAACTTGCCATAATTGTCGTTC